TATAATATATTCATTATATAACCATTTACTCACATTTTATATATTATACAGGGTGTATGAGATTTTTTCATATACAAGTTGGTAACTTACAATACTCTTAAATATAATAGAAAAATGTTTTATAAATATAAATTTAATTGAATTTAATAAATTGTGTTTCATCTTTATGTGTGTGTGTGCAAAAATTGATAATTTAATTAAATTTGTATTTATTGTATATTATTTCATATTTATTTATTTATTTATTATAACCTAATTATTATTGTTATTTAAATAATTAAACCAAAAAGATTACAAGAGGCATAATAAAATAGAAATTTAATTTCGCATAAATTAATAAAAATCTACGAGAAATAATTGATTATGTTAAAAATAACATATTACAAAATTATAATATAACATTGTGACAAGTATATTGAAATATTTTTACAGTCTATGTTAGAACATTTGAGTTAACCTAAAAATGATTTATATTTATAAAACACTTTTGTCTTATTTCTGTTCATAATATAAGGTCACAACGTTTGTATGCAAGAAAATACTTAGACACCCTGTATATATTCATATTATATACTAATTTATTGGTTTTTAGTATCATTTTGTTTATTTATTTTATACTTTTTATTTACCTAGCCCCTTACTGTATGCAACCCGTCACTTTTTTTACATCTCTTGCTCTCTCTCTCTCTCTCTCTCTCTCTTTCACACACATAAATGAGCTTCGATTTTTTTTCTACGCGTTTTTAATAGAGAATTTCTAATCGATCATATTAATTATTATTTATTGATACAACATGCAACAAATTGTAATAATCAGTTTCGTTACGTATATTGTATTTTTTTGTTTTTATATTAAAGTTCGTCATTTTTCTTTTCTTTCTATTTATTTTGTTTTTTTTTCTTTTTTTTTTTTCTGTGTGTATTTGAACTAACTCTCAGCAGTACATTGAGGTATTTTGTAAAAATATTTGGAAATATTATTTCTTTCTTATGGAGTTTTTTCTTTGTAATTTTTTTTTTTTTTCATTTCTTTCTCTCATTTTTCAAAATCCTTCTTTTTTTTTTTTACATTTAATTCATCTCGAAAGAATTTCTTTCGAAAAACTATTTGAATTTTTTCTTCTCTTTTTTTTTTTTATTGAAAAATTTCTCTCGAATAACTGTTTTTTTTTTTTATTTTGCATTTCATATTTTTCATTTAAATCACAAGAAAGAAAAAAAAGAAAGAAAGAAAGAATGAAAAAAAAGTGAAATACAGAAAAAGAAAAAAAATGTGCTAAACGTGCCAGTTTTTTTTTTTTTTTAAATAATTACCTGTGTATTAATTAATTTAATTAAAGGCGCGATTTATACATACATACATACATATATATACATACATACATACATACACGCATATACATACAAATTACAATAGAAATCTCGAGATATTTTGATATCTTTGAGAAGACACACGCGAAAGACGGTCGTTTTACTTTTTTTTTTTTATTCCTGTTTTCGTTCGTTCGAATGAAATTAAATTTTTTTTGATTAAAAAAAAAAAAAAAAAAACAACTTGTCATTTATAGATTGATCACTTTAATAAATCATTCCCATTTAAATATCAGAATTTATTTTAATTACAGATACGTTTATTACGTTAGATTATAATTAAATGAAATATAATAAAATATGACATATATTATTAATTATTATATATTATATTAATTGGTATATAATAATTTATATAATTATATAATTATTTATTAATTATATAAATATATATAATATTTTTATATTATTATTTATAATAATATAAATATCATAATATTATAATTATTATATAAATTATTACATATAATAATAATAATTATTTATTATTTATATAAATTAATATATTATTTAAATAAATAATATATTATATTAAATAATATTATATTAAAGTATTATTTAATATATAAATTATAATTAATAATAATTAATATTAATTAGTTAATATATATATATATATAAGACAATTTTTTAATATAAACGTTCGTATTTTTGGTTTTATTTTTTTCTTTTTTTCGTATCTGCAATTACATATTTATATATGCTGAATTATTATTATTATATATAAAATCAAATAAATAATGATATATATTATTTATTATATATTTAGTATAATATTCGCACATATATTTAATACACATATGCAACGCGATTTTCTCGTTTCTCGTGGTTTATTTTTCTTCTTCTTCTACTTCTTCTTCTTTTTCATTTTATTTTAATTTTTTTTTTTATCGTACGTGCCGTAAAACGTCTAAACTTTGAAAAAACAATAAGCGAGCTTCGATTTACCAAGCAATAATTTTCTTGTTATTATACGCGATCGAATCTTATTCGACTGGGAAGATTTCTTTG